CACAGCCACAGCTACATACACTATACATGTAATAATAGTAATAGTGATAAATGACCTTGCATCTGGCCACTTGCACAACTTTTGAAATGAAATTTGATCTGCCCATGCACCACTACAAACCAATCAAAGCACAGTTGATTTGTAGATTACAGGAATTATTGCACTCGGGATGGTCTCGAGGAAAATGTAGCACTCGGCTTCGCCTTGTGCTACATTTTCCTCTCGACCGCCCCTCGTGCAATAATTTCCGTAACCTACTCTCAACGGTGCTTTAATTAATACATGTATTTGTCATTAATTTTAGTTACTAACAAAGTTGGCTACACTGCATCCTATGCATATCACCAATTGGGCCTAATATGGCGTTTCACCAGTTGCCTGATATGGCCCAAGGAGTGATTATAAGATTTACATAATGTCTCCATGCCCATCAACAAGAATGGCCTCAATCAGTTATTAACAGTGGGACGAGTGGGACCAGTATACACTGTAGACTGTATCATTTGACAAATCAAAACAGTTTATCTAACATATAGGAATGCTACTGAGTCAGGAAATCTTATGTCAACTATAGAGTTGTAAGGCAGTTTACATAAAGTAATTTATGTAATTATAATAAGTACATGTACATGTACTTACTTGTTATTGTTTTTAGTCATTGTCACAGCTCTTGCTACTGATTCTTGTACATCAGTTGGTAATAATTTAATATCACCTAACACTCGTATGCACACACTATGATTATCAATTAGATCACTATAAAATAATAATAATAATAATCAGCAATTTGCTGCCTCAGGAATCAAGGTTAAAAGTTCATTTTGTGAGATCCACTAATTTTGCAAGGGCAATCAATGATGCCTGATTTAACTTTTGATTATTTATTAACTAACTTGTGTTCAATTATTATTGATTTAACTTCGTGAATTAACTTCCTTATTGTTCTTCTTTTCTCTTTTTAATAAAACTTATTTTTAGGGCTCAGTTCCCTTTTTATCTGTAAGGCCCATGGTTTTTTTGAAAAATGGCTCCAAAATCACTCCAAATTTTTATTACATTTTCTGATACATATTGATGTATTTATGCTGTGTAGAAAGTTTGAGTTGATTTTGACTTCAATTTTTCAAGTTATAGCCATTTTAAGAAATCGGCTAAATTCTGTAAAATACCCAAGGCTATAAGCCCATTGTTTTTTTTAAATGTCTCTGAAATCAATTCAAATTTTTATTACATTTTCGGATACATAATGATGTACTAATGCTGTGTAAAAAGTTTTAACTGTTTCTGACAAAAATTTTTCAAGTTACAGCATTCAAAACAATTTGCCAATTTCATAGAGACTTTGACCCAATTTTTGAACAACAGTAAAAATTATAAAATTATTTTCTTCTAGTTATAATACTATATCACTTACAGTTACTCATAAGCCCTGAACCTTCAGCCTGAACTCCAGCAGCCTACACTGAAAATAACATAATATCAACTCAGTATTACATTAATATTATATAAAAGGATCATTAATTCTTAAATAAACTTACAATGAAGCCTTTAGTTCATTATCCATGGACATAGAGCTTCCTACATTTTCTTAAATGTATTTTTAATTTAGGCCACATTTACACGACTACATTTTTAACAAAAACGAAATATTTTTGGTTGGGTTTATACTGATATCAAATCCAAGCAAAATAAAAACAAATACTAAAAGGAATAATTCTATAAACAAATGATAAATTCTAATGACAATGCAGCTGCTGGATTAGTGTAAACACCTGAAACAGGAATAACAAAAATGATGTGGTGGAGTCGTGCAAACATGACCTTATTTTTAAGAATTATTTTTAATAACAGCATAGTACAGTGTATCATTAAAAATATAAAAAAATAATGTCAATAACTTTAAAAGTACTAGTTTATATTTTGGTTCAATTCATTAGCTTACTAAATAATAACATTAACAACAACAGCAAAAGTAATTAATAATAATAATGATAATAATAATAAAAGCACACAGTAACAAAAATACTTCATATTTTTAATAACAGCATTGTAAAGAATATCATCAAAAAAAATGGTTTATATAAATTGTTAATTTAATAGCTAGCTCACAAAATGTTAACATTAACAACGGCAACAACAACAATAATAATAATAATAATTAATAATAATAACAATAATAATAATAATATTAATAACACACATTGACAAAAATAGCTATGATAGTAATTGATAAAAGTGTTACTAATGATAAGTATATCAATGCATATAAACACATTCAATAAAAGTTAATGTATAAAAGCTATGGCATGTAAAAGAAATCTCATTTCAATAAAAAGTGGAGCAGAAACAAGTACACAAACTATTAATGCTGATAAACAATGCAACATAATATACAATACAACAATGAATGATTTATAATAACAAAAATAAGAATAATAAACCAGAGGAAATCATCATAATGCTGCATATTGTATAACAACTACCAATAGAAATAATAAATAAATACTGAGCATTACTTTATTGTAAACAAACATCATCAAAAATAGAAAAAATTGCCCTGCTGTGAAAATGAAAAAACTACCTAACAAGAAGTCTCCATTATTCTTGAAGGTATTAAAGTTAACAAGAGAGAGAGATTTGATGCCATAGTGTTAATATAATGAAGAAAGGAAACGATCGAATG